CTAAACCCCCACCATTTTCCCCTTTAAATAACATATCAGCTTCTCTACAATAGGAAGAAGGACATATAAGGAAATACTCCATACTTCTGAGATCTACATTTCTTTTTCTTAATTCTGTGCACCTAGGAAGCAGCTGACTAATATTTTAACATTTCATGCATATAACCTTCATGTTAGCAAAGAAAGTACAAACACTTAATCTATAAAACCCATTCACTGACTTCGTTTCAAATACAATAATTCCCTATGCTTGCCCAAAATCCAAAAACTTACCTTGTGCACACTATAACTCACTCTAAGCTCTCAGCTGAGGGGGGAGAGCTGTAACCCCCCTTATGCAAGACGCAGAAATGCCCACTCAGCACACAGACACGGCGTGACGCAGAATAAACATTTATTCAACGTGGACGCCAGCTTTTATAGAGAGAGCAGAGACTTTTAAGGAACAAAGGGAGGAGACTGGGAGGAGTATTCCAGAAGTGGCAAATCACAGCCACAAGGGGTGGAACTGCCTGAACATGGACAAATGGGAAACTGCCTGTGGGGAGGGCACGTGACGCAGGGAAGGAGGAATCAGGAAAGGGCTTACATTGAACCAATAGGAAAAAGGGTAACAGGGTTACAGTGTAGGGTACAACACATTTTTATAAGAAAATATATTATACTAATAATAAAATAATTACACAACGGAGTAAAGGCACGGTGAAACAAACACTCTCACAGCTCCGACAACCACACTCAGCGCGCCACGACGTAAGTACATTCTGATATTTTTTTCTTCCTCTTCTTCTGCTGATTTCTTTTCATTAACTTCTCTCCACCACTCAGAAGTCTCCATCGGAGCACTCCCAACACTCAGTACCTTTGCCTGAAGATTATATAAGTCTGTAGCCCCTCCCACAAAGAGAATTGCAAGTGGTTCTCTGGGAATGGGAAACTCCACTCTCTTAAGGAAGTAAAATCAATTAGGTCTGTTTAGTTACTTCTCATCGACAAAAAATAAATTCCGGACTAATTCTGACTATGAGAGGTCATGATGAATGGGAACATCTGTTCCAGCACAAAATGGTATGCTTCCTCTTTTCACTGCTTGGCAACCTGTTAGTTAAAAATAATTGTGATGGCTGAAAAGCTCACAAAGTTTAAAAGAATACTGTTGTCCCAGTCAGACTTTCATCTTAATACTTTATGATTTGCCGCTTTACATAAGTCACATCAACAAATTCTGCTTGAATCCTTCATAAGCTTCTATTCTGTGCTTAGTGATGGGGATATTCCTTCAGGACATTTCCACTGAATTTCATTCCTGCACATAGGAGGGTTTTTTATTCTTTTCCTGTCCAAAATGTTTCCCAGAATTTGACTTGCTGAAAATGCTCACCAAAGACAACTGTAGGAGGCAGTGAACGAAGTACAGCACGAGAAGGCAAACTGCCCTCTGCACTCCTGATGCTTTTTTTGTGACAATTGTATTGATTTCAAAAAGTCAATGCAGCATAAACTCCTGTGAACCATCCTGCCTATCTAGCTGGTTAATGCTGTTGTAACCATTACCTGCAGTCAAGGTCAACATCTCTATAAAATTCTGCTGAATTGCCCTGAGTGTAATTGCAAGCTGGGATATTTTTCCCGTGTTACACACGCAGGTTGTATGAATTATAGTGTGTCAAATAAAAAACCTCAAGTTGTTTATAGTACAGGGGGCTCTGTCCTTCAGATCCTTCCTGTTCATGTACTTGGCTGCTTTGTAGCTGAAAATGAGCCTCACCCCATCAGTCTCCACCACTGGTACCTGAGAGACCAATGTAGTCCATGGCTTGATGTAAAAATAAGCTTAAGAATTTATTTAGAGCTAGAACCACAGGAGGATAAGGCATCAAAACAGTCACCACTGCAATGGACTGTCTTTCAGGAGATGCCTGGTCCCTGAATGGAACCCTCTGTACTCCATATGGCACAGAAGGAGAGCCAGGCTTCCCAGAAGGGCACTCCTCACTGACAGCATATCCTGTAGCCTCTGCCTTCTTGTTTGGAGTCCTTTCTTTCTTATGGTCCTCTGTCCCCTTCTTACATTTGGGGACATTCTTCTCTCCAGCCTCTGAAAGCCTGCAGTGTGGCTGAGTCACCTATGCAGAGGTGTCCATGCCACTGTGCATGTTCCATGGCACCTGCTGCCTTCCAGCTGCTGCTCCACAGAGCCCGGCTCTGCAGCCTGTGCTCTGGCACCATGGCCAGCCCTACAGGGCAGCCAGAGAGAGCCCCAGGCCTCTCTGCTCTGTGCAGCAGAACCCCACTCCTGGTATTGCTATGGAAGCACAACCTGCACACATTTTGTTTTCTGTTCACATCCAACTCAAAATAATTTGTTCATATTTTATAAGGAAACAGAACTCTGCAGAGGAAGGTTTTATTTGCTTGCTTGAGGAATAACTGCTTTCCTCTCTAGCCTTCTTGGAGCGCTGAATTTTGCTGTTAGCAAAGTTTATTTGAAGAGGAGCAGATCAAACTCCACTGCTGGAAACAGTGTTTCCTGCAATTTTGGACTGAAATGACTTATGCTGCAGAATCTTAGATAATGTGGAAGAAGGAAGCTTTTCCTGCATAGACGTGTGCACCAAGGTGCATCTGGTAGCATTCCACAAACTCAAACTCACACTTAGGTAGCTTGGCTGGATTAATAATTTGTAGGCCCGGCCGTAATGAACTCTAGAAGATAACCCAGGTGTAATGACTACTCCTACAAGGACCTGACATCCACTGTGTCAGAGGACTGCAAGGTAAGAAGACTTGAGTTTAAGCAGGAAAGTTAATGACAGTGTAGACATCTTGGGAAAACTCATCTCACCTGACTAGGTAGACACCTACATTAAGCAGTCCAAACGCATCCCTAAGCCCTACAACCAGGGCTGACGGAAAAGCCATCTCGGCCTTGTCCCTGGAGTCTTGTGGAGTGGCTGTTTCTGTTGCAAAATGTGGAATACGTAAAAATTTTCCTAAGAAAGGATGTTCTCTGATGTTTGATCTTTGTCCACTTTCAAGCCTAACCAAGAGGAAAGGAGATTTAATGCGTGAAACAGATGGCAGCTAAGAAGCCAGCTCTAAGTGAAAGAAAAATTATTATCAGTAGAATTGCCTTGTTAAGGTTTAGGGCTCAACAGGTTTCAATGATCTCAGAACTGGCGGGTGGGGGGGTGTTAACAAAGGTTGGAAAGAAGGATGTTCCACTGCTAGTGGACACAAAGAATGCAGAATTTCTGGGCCACAAGGACATCTGGCAAGAACTGCCAAGATAAGGAAGAAACTAATTAAGACAACTCAGCAACTATGATGAATCAGCTCCAACTGGGTGAAAGGTAATTGTGGCAGGGGGAGATCGCGACCATCAACTCAGGGGCCGCTGAGCCAAGAAACCCACCGACCCAAAAGAAGAGAAAGACTGGACATGTGGACTAATTAGCAAGAGAAGAGAGGGAATCACTAACCAGTAGAAGATAGAATAATAAGAGAACCGTGTCACCTGTAGCCAAGGAACATTAATGCCTTTGTTTGCAAAAATGTATAAAGAGTAAAAAGTTTTGATAGTGGGTGTACTTGCTTTGCGGAATACCAGCAAGCACCCAGGCTTGCAGAGCTGTGAAATAAATAATCCATGTCTCTCTCAAGTGCGTAATTATTGGCCAGTTGCATAACAGGTAACAAATCCAATTTTGCTGGCCCACATTTCCACTGGGCTGTCTCAGAGGTGGCTGCACCTCAGGGACATGGCCGGGGCAAGAGGAGGCAGGGGACAGGTTTGGAGGCCGCGGAGGCAGCAGTGGGGTCACAGGAATGTCGTGACTGGAGAGAGGCCGGGGCTGCAGCCCCATGAGCGGGTTGCCAGGTGGTTGGTGTGCTGGGGGCTCTGGCTCTGCGTGGCCCAAGGGGGTCGGTGCTCAGGATCCTGGAACTGCCCAGCCGTGCCTGTAGATTGCACGGCACACAGTCGGCAACCATGACCCAAGTTTCTGGCTTGAGTGTCTGACAATGCTCAGCAGCTGCAAGTGCTGTCTGAAAGCCTCAGGGAGGAGGGAGGGAAAGCGCTCGTGCAACAACTCTGTTTCATACATGCTTTGCTGCAGAAAAACGCTGGGTTTTTTCCCTTTTTGATGATAAGGACGGGTTCCAGATGCATGACATGACTTGTGAAGAAACTGTTGGTGTTAACAGGAGTTGTAGTGCCCTGAGTTTGCCCAGCTTAAAACTGCCAGCACTAGAGCATTACTTGTTCCTAGGGCACTTGCTCTTTCCTTTACATCCTGGATTTTTTGGTGTTTAAACAATATCATGGAATCATAGTATGGTTTGGGTTGGAAAGCACTTTAAAGAACATCTAGTTTTGACCCTCCTGCCATGGGCAGGGACAGCTTTCCTGAGACCAAGACACATAGTTATGTGTTCTACTGTCTTGCTAACCCCTCAGTAGCAGAACTTGATTTATGTGATTATAATGAACAACTTAAGTACAACTTATACTAAACTTCATTGAATATAAAGTGATGTAAGTCAACATGAAAGGCTACATTCCAAGGTCTCTCTAACACGTGACACCAATCTGACTGCTTCTCCCTCAAACAACAAGTTTTAAACTTCACAGTTAGTGACAAGCACTTGTTTCTCCATCGAGTCTGCAAAGTGCTTTTAGCTGCTACAGTGGACCTTTAGTTAAAGGAAATATTGGTGAAGCTGCAGTAGAAGAATTTAACTGTCCAGTCACAAAAGAGAGGTGCAGCAGGACCTCTGGTCCCAGCATCCTCCAAGTTAAGCTCAGAGGAAATCCAAATCCTAACCTGTCATCCCCATCTAACCGGAACCTGCATGCTTTTCCTGGCATTTCCCCAAACAGGTACATTACCTACTGTTTGGGCTAAACTCTCACCATTTTCCAGCAATTCTTAGGAATGCCAGAACCAGAGAGCCCCTAGGTATATAAGTAGCATCAGGAAGTCAATTAACAACCTGGGTTTGAGTGTCAATAGTAAGACTTTATTTCAGGTATTCTCCTTAGTCAGTTAAGATATCTTGTGTTGTCCAATATACTCCCAATCAGTGAACTATTCCATTTTCTGGTATGGTCATACAGATTCCCCTAGGAAGTGTTAACAGTAGTCTCAAATCAGTGCTGTAGCTAAGGAAAGAGAGATCAACAACCTTTTCACTGTTTTCATTCATTTCCCTTTGCCGCTATCAGCAAACACAATGAAATGAGAGTTTCTGTTGCTTTAGGCTGCTGCTCAGTGGAAAATTGCTCTCAGTTTGGCTATATCTTCTGGTCGTATTCGTGGTTTCCTCTGGCTACCAGGCTGCAGGAATTTCTTTATTGTGGGGATATTGCTTATTCTTGCTTTTAAACTCTACAAAACAAAACCAAAACAGCACTGTGCTTAAGAAGCATTGTAACTGTCAGACATTTTGATGTTATCCATGCTCTAAAAGTAACATTATGCATTGATGCTGCAGAAGAAACTACATGGTTCCCTCTATTATGCTTTTGTGACTGCAAAGACAGAAGCTGGCAACAACCATCAGTATTTGAGGCCAGCTAAAAGTACTTAGCAGATTTGGTTATTTTCTAAGTCACTTCTCTCCTCACCCTCCCACTCTCCCCTGTTTCTCAGCCAGTTTAAATCAGTGGTCCTTTCCAATGCATTGTCCATTAAAACTCTCCATTCATTTACCTGCAAGAGAGGAAATTTGGCAAGGATATCAGGTTTGAACTCTTCTGCCATTAAAATGATTTCAAGTAACTGCACATCTGCCCTGCTTAACTGGTTGCCAACAAGAAAGTCTTGTCCATGGTCTTTCAAAACCTAAAAACACAGAACCAGATGATTTTTTTTCCTCTCTGTTACTTAAAATGATATCTTCAAAGCAAGGTCATACATTGCACAGAGTTGTCCTTGAAAGAAGGAAATGCAGTACAAACACCTGTAATACAAACAAACGGTTTTATCTTCCTAGGCATGATTAATAAGTCCCTTCTTTACTGTGTTTTTTTCTGTCAGCTCAGCTCTACTCCTCTTTTCTTCACTTCTGTAGCTTAAGTAGTCGATGCTGCTGCATTGAATGCTAAGCTTCATGAGATGCAGAAGGAGCTGTAATGCTTTTACATAGATTGTATGGTAGAGGGGCATCTGCACTTCAGGAAGAAACTTTACATAAAAGATGATGCAATAGTTTCTTTTGTCTGACACAACATACAGATTAAAACATGGACATTTGTAAAGCTCAGTGTGTCCTGGGTTTTTGCAGCTTTACACGTCTCCCAGATCTGTAGTGCCTTCTGTCCCCTCTGTATTGTCCTGTCTCCATCCTCATCCCAGCCCCATCAAAACCAGAGCAGTATCTCTAAGTGTTTTCCTCAATAAAAATTGTTGGTGTAGATTCAGGATGGAGTTTCAGGAGAACAGTATCGATGAAGCTACAACATCTTTGCCACATACCTTCTCAAAGGCTGGGAAGTATCTGTTTGTGGCCTTGTCCATCATATTAGCAAAATGTTGCTCCTTCTTATCTGCTGGTTGGATATCATAGTATATGAATAACTCATTCAGATCGAATATTCCTTCCACATACATGTCGATTCTGAAAGGAATAGATCCAGTTGGTCAAGTCAAACACAGTAGGTCTGAATGCCACAACAGCTACTGGCATAACCCTGCTGAGGTGCTGGGAAATCTCCACCTTTTCTATCTCACATCTATAGCTTGGAGTAGTTCCCTCCAGAATGCAGTTGCATTAAGGGACACTCCTGCACTCCTGATTACTTTCTTCTGATAACTGTCTTGACCTTGGATTGATGATTCATGAGCAGCCTTGCACCATGCTGCCCATCCAATCAAGCTGGATATCACTGCCCTAGACATCACCTGCAGTCACAGTCAACACGTGCTGCATGAAGCACTGCTCTATCACCCTGAATTTAGCTGTGAGCTGGGATATTCCTGTGTTACACAGAGATGTAGCATGAACTGCGGTCTAACAAGAAAACGTGGTACTGTTACAGTACAGGGCTCTCTCCTTCAGGTCCTTCCCGTAGAGGTTGTACTTCATTGCTATGTAATTGAGAATGGCTCTGGTCTGCACCATCTTCATGCCATCAATCTCCACCATTGGCACTTGCTGAAAGAGCAGGGATCCATCTAGGGAAAAGGAGATAAGACAAGGCGACACTCAGTCTCTGAATGAGAACCAGTGGGGGGGGGTCAGGCAAAGTAACCACACATATTATCGTTTATTTAGAATCATTGCATCATTTAGGATGGAAAAGACCCTTAAGATCAAGTCCAACTGTAAACCTAACACTGCCAAACTCCACAACTAAACCATGTCCCCAGGTGCCACATTTACACACTCAACCACTTCCCTGGCAAGCCTGTTCCCATGCTTGACAACTCTTTTGGTGGCAATCTTCCTCATTCCTACAAGAAGGGAGGGAAAATGCTTACCATGAAACAACCATTTCTTAGCGACACGTGACTAACTTAATATTACAGCAATCAACTTCTTGAAGATCCTTCAGATTTGAACAAGCACCCAAATGCTGAACTTTTAGTTTTCATGCCCTGAAAAAGACGTGCGGCATGGCCCTAACTCAAATGATTTTCGTGGAAATTAATACAGATGAGAAGGACTGAAGGATGTGATCCAGCAGTTTCTGTCATGCGTTGGTAAGTATTATGAAAATCTGGACACTTTAAGGACTTTTCAGCATATTATGCAAATAGAAAAGCACACAATATCTTTGTGACTTCTATGCTGACTTTGCACAATGGCATCTCATCTGTACAGGCATGAGGTGGGGAATCACAGGGGAGTTCCCTGAGATTCCTGCAAGACCCAAGTATCACTTGATGTGAGTCTGCAGAAGCCTTGACCTAGCAAGGAAGAAGTAAAAATAACCTCCAGAAAGAGATCAGTGGATCAGAGGAGTGAGTGAGAGTTTTTGCTTTATGGAATACTATTTCAGATCAGATAACTGATCAGCTATGTCTGTGGCAATCATGCAAAGAAACTCTCTGCTTTCCAGGGTGTATTTACATTTATGCTTGTGTCTCAAAATATTTTTTGAAAGGCAGCAGGTGACAGCCATTATTGCTAAAGGAGAGTAGGACTGCACATGCCAACCCTAGCTCAGCCATTTTTCAAAGGCCAAGGGAAGAGCCCAGACATGTAATATGATTTGGAGGAAATGTGAATATCATGTTCACAAAGATGAAAGCTGAAGCGAGAAGATGAGTAGTTGCCTTGGGAAACAGGAATGCATCAGAGCTACAGGTTAAACTCAGAGATCTGGAACTCTGTTTTCATATAGATTATAAAACAACAACGTCATAGGCAACCTAAAAAGCTAATGAATTTGAAGATGATGTGATGACAAAATCCTCTATTGTGATAGGACAGGAGGCAATGGACACAAACTGAATCAAAGGAGAGTCAGTCATCTGAACTTAAAGAAAGGCTCTTTCACTGTGGGAAGTTACTGTGCATTGGCACAGGTTGCCAGAGAGCCTCCATCCTTGGAGATACTTAGAACTCAGCTGGACATGGACTGGGCAAATGGCTTGTAGGTGGTGTTGCTTGGAAAGGGGAGGTGGCATAGATGATCTCAAGAGGTGCCTTCTGACCTCAGCCCTTCTGTGATTCAGTGAAGATTGAAGCAACTGGGTGGATGAGGCCACCTAACACACTGCAGTGTGTGTCTGTGATATATCATGCACAATCAAGTCGAGATTTTCTTTTTGAGAGACTAAGACTTCTTAGGTGTTCTCAGACAAATTATTATTATTATTATTATTATTATTATTATTATTATTATTATTATTATTATTGCTATTGTTGTTGTTATCATTATCATTGTTAGTGTTATTATTAAATAGTGAAGGTATCTTACCCTTTCGTAATTTTGTCAGATCATCCTTTTTTTCCAGATAAGATTCTTCAAACTGCAAGAAATAGAGAAGAAAGTTCAGTTGTTGTTCCATGGTTTAGCTTCTTCTTCATTTAGACAATGAAGGCACAACGACCTGTGTTTGGGACATTTTAGTTTTTAAAAAATAAATAATATTTCAAAGCTTTCTGGCGCATTGGCCATCACCAAAACCTCACAGCTCACAAGAACTCACAGATGCCCACACTCCTCTCTGCTTCAATATCAGAAAGTCTTAGTGGCAAAAAAGAAAACTTTGATTTATAATCGAATGTACCTTCAGGGGTAAGCTACGTTGTAGTAGCAAACTTAGTCTTTTGCTATTTTGAACACTGAAATTTCACTAAAGGTCTTCAGAACTGGAAGTGCTCGACCCCTGGGATCAGAAGGTAAGAAGCCACGTTCTGCTGCTGTGGTTTTAATTTTTTCTTTCACTAGCTACAGGGGATAGGCATTTGTGGTGCTACCAGTAGGCCTGGCACGAGACACGTGGAAGTGAGACTGAAACCTGCCCCTGCTTAGGGTAAGCGCATGGTTGTTGTTGGCTTGGTCAGCAATGCACTAAATGCAGACCTTGAAGCTGCAGGTCAGTCAGTCACATTTTTCATAGGGAACGTTAAAAGTACATATTTGTCACATGCTCTTGGTATAAGAAAACAGAGACAAACCTCAACCCCAGCTGCTGCCAGCAGCCACCGTATTGGTTCCATTCGGCCTCGTCCATTGAAGTAGTGCAGCTTGGGTTTCCCAGACATGTTTCCACGTGCCTGATAGTTTCTTCCTATTTGGAATGAAAAAGTAAGTTTAGCCAAATAAAGATTCAGAATGCTGGGTTTGAGTCTCTCATTGGCTCTCAAAGTTGTCCGGTTTGAAACCAATGATTTATGGTTCAAGACTTTGGACTTACTAAAGGAGGTAGAGGTTAGAGTACATTGAGAGACTGCATTGTATCACCTTGCCTTAAAAATGTCTTTTATCCATGCAGGTTTGTTAGGCAGAACTCATGTACTAAGAGCCATTGGCCCATTTCAGAGAACAAGCAAACCAAAACCATTTGCATCCAAAGTGTTCTGCTCTGAGCAAAAAGCAGACTGTGCTTTCTCTTTAATTTGGCATTATCTCAGCATACAGTTTACTGTTTAATCAGATACACAATATTAACTCAGCAATTGCTGTGCTTTCACCAGCAGCCATTATGCTCCATTATAAAGAGGCAGGAAGGAATATTTATTCCTCTTGTGAGCATTCAATCTCTTTTACAACACTCCCTGCTCCGGTAATTTCTTTAGACAAGCCTACAAAGATATAGAAATTAATTTTGTCTCTGATAACATCAGATCTGCCTTTACCACAGACAGAGCCAAAGGGCAATGCCTGTTTTGACAATTCCAACTTGGCTGGAATATAAAGCAGCAACAATTTCTAGGCAGATCACCATCTGCCCCATTCACAACCACGTGAGCACAGCAGCAGCAAACATGCAGACAGCCCCTGGTTTACACCACTCTCACAGTTATTAACACCGTCTCAACAATAAAGCTAAAGCATTAGCAGCAGCAAAGGGGAAATGGCTAAAACCCCACCATGTTCCCCTTTTAAATGACATATCAGCTTCTCTACAATAGGAAGAAGGACATATAAGGAAATACTCCATACTTCTGAGATCTACATTTCTTTTTCTTCATTCTGTACACCTAGGAAGCAGCTGACTAATATTTTAACATTTCATGCATATAACCTTCATGTTAGTAAAGAAAGTACAAACAATCTGTAGAACCCATTCACTGACTTCATTTCAAATACAATAATTCCCTATGCTTGCCCAAAATCCAAAAAACTTACCTTGTGCACACTATAACTCACTCTAAGTTCTCAGTAGCTCTGCCTGGAGATTATATAGGTCTGTAGCCCCTCCCACAAAGAATTGCAAGTGGTTCTCTGAATGGGAAACTCCCATCTCTTAAGGAAATAAAACCAATTAGATCTGTTTTGTTACTTCTCACCTACAAAAAATAAATTCCTGACTCATGCTGACTATGTACAAATGTAAGATAGATGAGAGGTCATGATGAATGGGAACATCTGTTCCAGCACAAAATGGTATGCTTCCTCTTTTCACTGCTTGGCAACCTGTTAGTTAAAAATAATTGTGATGGCTGAAAAGCTCACAAAGTTTAAAAGAATACTGTTGTCTCAGTCAGACTTTCATTTTAATATTTCATGGGTTTGTACTTTTAACCAATTGCCGCTTTACAACATCAACTAATTCTGCTTGAATCCTTCATAAGCTTCTACCCCATGCTTAGTGATGGGGATATTCCTTCAGGACATTTCCACTGAATTTCATTCCTGCACATAGGAGGGTTTTTTATTCTTTTCCTGTCCAAAATGTTTCCCAGAATTTGACTTGCTGAAAATGCTCACCAAAGACAACTGTAGGAGGCAGTGAACGAAGTACAGCACGAGAAGGCAAACTGCCCTCTGCACTCCTGATGCTTTTTGGTGACAACTGTATTGATTTCAAAAAGTCAATGCAGCATAAACTCCCGTGAACCATCCTGCCTATCTAGCTGGTTAATGCTGTTGTAACCATTACCTGCAGTCAAGGTCAACATCTCCATAAAATTCTGCTGAATTGCCCTGAGTGTAATTGCAAGCTGGGATATTTTTCCCGTGTTACACATGCAGGTTGTATGAATTATAGTGTGTCAAATAAAAAACCTCAAGTTGTTTATAGTACAGGGGGCTCTCTTCTTCAGATCCTTCCTGTTCATGTACTTGGCTGCTTTGTAGCTGAAAATGATCCTCAACCCATCAGTCTCCACCACTGGTACCTGAGAGACCAATGTAGTCCATGGCTTGATGTAAAAATAAGCTTAAGAATTTATTTAGAGCTAGAACCACAGGAGGATAAGGCATCAAAACAGTCACCACTGCAATGGACTGTCTTTCAGGAGATGCCTGGTCCCTGAATGGAACCCTCTGTACCCCATATGGCACAGAAGGAGAGCCAGGCTTCCCAGAAGGGCACTCCTCACTGACAGCATATCCTGTAGCCTCTGCCTTCTTGTTTGGGCTCCTTTCTTTCTTATGGTCCTCTGTCCCCTTCTTACATTTGGGGACATTCTTCTCTCCAGCCTCTGAAAGCCTGCAGTGTGGCTGAGTCACCTATGCAGAGGTGTCCATGCCACTGTGCGTGTTCCATGGCACCTGCTGCCTTCCAGCTGCTGCTCCACAGAGCCCGGCTCTGCAGCCTGTGCTCTGGCACCATGGCCAGCCCTACAGGGCAGCCAGAGAGAGCCCCAGGCCTCTCTGCTCTGTGCAGCAGAACCCCACTCCTGGTATTGCTATGGAAGCACAACCTGCACACATTTTGTTTTCTGTTCACATCCAACTCAAAATAATTTGTTTGTATTTTATAAGGAAACAGAACTCTGCATAGGAAGATTTTATTTGCTTGCTTGAGGAATAACAGCTTTCATCTCTAGCCTTCTTGGACTGCTGAATTTTGCTGTTAGCAAAGTTTATTTGAAGAGGAGCAGATCAAACTCCACTGCTGGAAACAGTGTTTCCTGCAATTTTGGACTGAAATGACTTATGATGCAGAATCTCAGATAATGTGGAAGAAGGAAGCTTTTCCTGCATAGACGTGTGCACCAAGGTGCATCTGGTAGCATTCCACAAACTCAAACTCACACTTAGGTAGCTTGGCTGGATTAATAATTTGTAGGCCTGGCCGTAATGAACTCTAGAAGATAACCCAGGTGTAATGACTACTCCTACAAGGACCTGACATCCACTGTGTCAGAGGACTGCAAGGTAAGGAGACTTGAGTTTAAGCAGGAAAGTTAATGACAGTGTAGACATCTTGGGAAAACTCATCTCACCTGACTAGGTAGACACCTACATTAAGCAGTCCAAACGCATCCCTAAGCCCTACAACCAGGGCTGACGGAAAAGCCATCTCGGCCTTGTCCCTGGAGTCTTGTGGAGCAGCTGTTTCTGTTGCAAAATGTGGAATACGTAAAAATTTTCCTAAGAAAGGATGTTCTCTGATGTTTGATCTTTGTCCACTTTCAAGCCTAACCAAGAGGAAAGGAGATTTAATGCGTGAAACAGATGGCAGCTAAGAAGCCAGCTCTAAGTGAAAGAAAAATTATTATCAGTAGAATTGCCTTGTTAAGGTTTAGGGCTCAACAGGTTTCAATGATCTCAGAACTGGCGGGTGGGGGGGTGTTAACAAAGGTTGGAAAGAAGGATGTTCCACTGCTAGTGGACACAAAGAATGCAGAATTTCTGGGCAACAAGGACATCTGGCAGGAACTGCCAAGATAAGGAAGAAACTAATTAAGACAACTCAGCAACTATGATGAATCAGCTCCAACTGGGTGAAAGGTAATTGTGGCAGGGGGAGATTGAGACCATCAACTCAGGGGCCACTGAGCCAAGAAACCCACCGACCCAAAAGAAGAGAAAGACTGGACATGTGGACTAATTAGCAAGAGAAGAGAGGGAATCACTAACCAGTAGAAGATAGAATAATAAGAGAACCGTGTCACCTGTAGCCAAGGAACATTAATGCCTTTGTTTGCAAAAATGTATAAAGAGTAAAAAGTTTTGATAGTGGGTGTACTTGCTTTGTGGAATACCAGCGAGCACCCAGGCTTGCAGAGCTCGGAAATAAATAATCCATGTCTCTCTCAAGTGCATAATTATTGGTCAGTTGCATAACAGGTAACAAATCCAGTTTTTTCTGGCCAGCATTTCCACTGGGCTGGCTCTGAGGTGGCTGCACCCCAGGGACAAGGCCTGGGCAGGAGGAGGCAGGGGACAGGTTTGGAGGCTCCCAAGGAGGCAGTGGGGTCGCAGGAATGTTGTGACTGGAGAGAGGCCGGGGCTGCAGCCCCATGAGCGGGTTGCCAGGTGGTTGGTGTGCTGGGGGCTCTGGCTCTGCGTGGCCCAAGGGGGTCTGTGCTCAGGATCCTGGAACTGCCCAGCCGTGCCTGTAGATTGCATGGCACACAGTCGGCAACCATGACCCAAGTTTCTGGCTTGAGTGTCCGACAATGCTCAGCAGCTGCAAGTGCTGTCTGAAAGCCTCAGGGAGGAGGGAGGGAAAGCACTCGTGCAACAACTCTGTTTCATACATGCTTTGCTGCAGAAAAACGCTGGGCTTTTTCCCTTTTTGATGATAAGGACGGGTTCCAGATGCATGACATGACTTGTGAAGAAACTGTTGGTGTTAGCAGGAGTTGTAGTGCCCTGAGTTTGCCCAGCTTAAAACTGCCAGCACTAGAGCATTACTTGTTCCTAGGGCACTTGCTCTTTCCTTTACATCCTGAGTTTATTTGGTGTTTAAACAATATCGTGGAATCATAGTATGGTTTGGGTTGGAAGGCACTTTAAAGATCATCTAGTTTTGACCCTCCTGCCATGGGCAGGGACAGCTTTCCTGAGACCAAGACACATAGTTATGTGTTCTACTGTCTTGCTAACCTCTCAGTAGCAGAACTTGATTTATGTGATTATAATGAACAACTTAAGTACAACTTATACTAAACTTCATTGAATATAAAGTGATGTAAGTCAACATGAAAGGCTACATTCCAAGGTCTCTCTAACACGTGACACCAATCTGACTGCTTCTCCCTCAAACAACAAGTTTTAAACTTCACAGTTAGTGACAAGCACTTGTTTCTCCATCGAGTCTGCAAAGTGCTTTTAGCTGCTACAGTGGACCTTTAGTTAAAGGAAATATTGGTGAAGCTGCAGTAGAAGAGTTTAACTGTCCAGTCACAAAAAGGAGGTGCAGCAGGACCTCTGGTCCCAGCATCCTCCAAGGTAAGCTCAGAGGTAATCCAAATCCTAACCTGTCATCCCCATCTAACCGGAACCTGCATGCTTTTCCTGGTATTTCCCAGAACAGGTACATCACCTATTGTTTGGGCTAAACTCTCATCATTTTCCAGCAATTCTTAGAAATGCCAGAACCAGAGAGCCCTTAGGTATATAAGTAGCATCAGGAAGTCAATTAACAACCTGGGTTTGAGTGTCAATAGTAAGACTTTATTTCAGGTATTCTCCTTAGTCAGTTAAGATATCTTGTGTTGTCCAATATACTCCCAATCAGTGAACTATTCCATTTTCTGGTATGGTCATATAGATTCCCCTAGGAAGTGTTGACAGTAGTCTGAAATCAGTGCTGTAGCTAAGGAAAGAGAGATCAACAACCTTTTCACTGTTTTCATTCATTTCCCTTTGCCGCTATCAGCAAACACAATGAAATGAGAGTTTCTGTGGCTTTAGATTGCTGCTCAGTAGAAAATTGCTATCACTTTGGGCACCTCTTCTGGTCGTATTGGTGGTTTCCTCTGGCTGCCAGGCTGCAGGTATTTCTTTATTGTGGGGATATTGCTTATTCTTGCTTTAAAACTCTACAAAACAAAACCAAAACAGCACTGTGCTTAAGAAGCATTGTAACTGTCAGACATTTTGATGTTATCCATGCTCTAAAAGTAACATTATGCATTGATGCTGCAGAAGAAACTACATGGTTCCCTCTATTATGCTTTTGTGGCTGCAAAGACAGAAGCTGGCAATAACCATCAGTATTTGAGGCCAGCTAAAAGTACTTAGCATATCTGATTATTTTATATGTCACTTCTCTCCTCACCCTCCCACTCTCCCCTGTTTCTCAGCCAGTTTAAATCAGTGGTCCTTTCCAATGCATTGCCCATTAAAACTCTCCATTCATTTACCTGCAAGAGAGGAAATTTGGCAAGGATATCAGGTTTGCCCTCTTCTGCCATTAAAATGATTTCAAGTAACTGCACATCTGCCCTGCTTAACTGGTTGCCAACAAGAAAGTCTTGTCCATGGTCTTTCAAAACCTAAAAACACAGAACCAGATGATTTTTTTTCTGTTACT